TGTTGTTGTTGTTATTCTTATTTTCATTACAGTTATTATCATTATCATTAGTATCATTAGTATTATCATTACCATTAGTAGTAGTAATAGTAATCTTATATTACTATTACTATTACCATATTATTATTATCTTTCTCAATTTTAAAACTGTTATCACTATTCCTATTATCATTTGTATCATATATACCGCCATTTTTATCATTATCATTACTGTTATCATTATAGCACCAATGGTAATGGTGATAATGATGATGTTATCTAGAATGATGATTGTCATGATAATTATGATGATAATAATAATATTAATAATAATAATAATAATGATAATAGTAATAAAAGTAATAATAATAATAATAATAATAATTATAATAATAATAATAATAATAATAATAATAATAATAATAATAATAACAATGATAATAGTAATGATAATAATTAGAGTAATAATGATAATGATAATGATGGTATCATAATGGAATAATATATCAAAATAATAGTAATGATATATTATTAATAATAATAACAATAATAATAATCATCATCATCATCATCATTATCATTATTATGATAATAATAATAATGATAATAATAATAATAATAATAATAATAATAATAATAATAATAATAATAATAATAATAATAATAATAATAATGATAATAATAATAATAGCAGTAATAATAACAATAATAATAACAACAATAATAATAATAATAATAGAAAAATACTACTACTACTAATAATAATAACAATGATGATAATAATAATAATAATTCGAGTAATAATGATAATGATAATGATGATATCATAATGAAATAACAATAAGAATAATGATAATAATGGTGATGAAATAATAATAATAATAAGAAGAAGAAGAATGATAATGATGATAATAGTAATAATAATAACAATAGTGATAATAGAAAATTATATTAAATAATAATAATGATAATGATAATAATAATAACGATAATAGAAATAACAGCAATAGTAACAGTAAAAATAATGATAAAAAATTATCAATGATCATAGTAATAGTAATCATGATAATGATAACGAGAGAAACGACAATGATAGTAATATTGGTAATATTATTAAAAATAATGATGATGATGATGATGATGATGATGAGATTGATAACATTAATAAAAATGATAATGGCCGAAAATATTATAGTACTGAAAATAATCTTGATGATGATAATGATGATGATAAAAATAATGATAATAATAATAATAATATTAATAATAATGATAATAATAATGATAATGATAATACTAATAATATTTACAATGATAATGATAATTACTGTTATCATAAGAATTATAAAAATTCTTGTTATTATTATCATTATTATTATCCATGATATTATTATTATCATTATCATTATTATCATTATTGTTGTTATCATTATTATTGTTTTTGATATTGCTATTGTTGTTATGATTATTATTATGATGATGATGATTATAGTTATTATTATTATTATTATTATTATTATTATTATTATTATTATTATTATTATTATTATTATTATTATTATTATTATTATTATTATTATCATCATCATCATCATCATCATCATCATTATTGTTGTTTTTATATTATTTTTGTTATCATTATTATCATTATCATTATTATTATTATTATTATAATAATTGCAATAACATCATTGTTGACAGTAAGGTCAATGCTGATAATATTAATGATAGTAATAATGACAAATAAAATAATAATAATGATAATAATAATAATAATAATAATAATAATAATAATAATAATAATAATAATAATAATAATAATAATAATAATAATGATGATGATGATAATAATAATAATAGCAATAATAATAATAAAGATAATGATAATGATAATAATGATATTAATGATAATAATAGCAATAATAATAGTAATGATAATAATTAATGATAATAATGATAATAATAATAATAATAATAATAATAATAATAATAATAATAATAATAATAATAATAATAATATAATGACAATAATGACAATGATAATAATAATAATAATAATAATAATAATAATAATAATAATAATGATAATGATAATAATAATAATAATAATAATAATAATGATAATAATAATAATAATAATAATAATAATAATAATAATAATGATAATAATTTGAATGATGATAATAATGATAATAATAATATTATTATTATCATTATTATTATCATTATCATTATTGTTACCATTACTATTATTATAATCATCATTATTATCATCATTTTTATTGTTATCATTATTATTCATTGTCATTATCATCATTGATATTATTATTATCATCATTATTGTAATTATTTCATTATCATTATTATTATCATTAGTAGTAGTAGTAGTATCATCATCATTATTACTATTATCAGTATTATTATTTTTACTACTATTATCAGTATTATTATTTTTTCTACTATTATCAGTATCATTATTATGATCACTATTGTTATTATTATTATTATAATTATGATTATTGCTATTATTATCATCACCATTATTATCATTGCCATTATTATTATTATTTATTATTATTATTATTATTATTATTATTATTATTATTATTATTATTATTATTATTATTATTATTATTATTACTATCATTATTATTATTATTATTATTATTATTATTATTATTATTATTATTATTATTATTATTATTATCATTATTATTATAATAATAATAATAATTATTATTATTATTATTATTATTATTATTATTATTATTATTGTTATTATTATTATTATCATTATTGTTATTGTCACTATGAATGCTATTGTTATTATTTATATTATTATTATCATCATCGGTACTATTATTACTATCATTATTATTCATGTTGTTACTGATATGTAATCATTATTATTACCAGTTCAGTTCCACATAATAATGATAATGATATCAATTTTCATTATCATGATGATAAAAGTGGTAATAATGATAGTAATAATTAGACTGATAATGAATATTATTATGATAATGAAGATGATGGCATTAAAAGCAATACTAAAAATGATAACAACAATAATGATAGTAGTAGTAGTAGTAATTATGATGATAATGAATGTTATTCTTATAATCATAATAATGATAAAGGTAAGATTACAATAACAACAACAACAACAATAATAATGATAATAATAATAGAGATGATACAATGATACTATTTATCTTATAGCAATAATTATAAACATAATGATAATGCTGATATTAGTAAAGATGATTAGTGCTACTGCTACAATGAGTAATAATAAATGATCTGATTTTAATACGGTTACTAATTATTCTTTTTTATTTTCATTATCGTTATCATTATTATTCTTTCATTATTATTGCTATTATAATTGTGAAGATAGTGATGATGATGATGGTGACGATGATAATGATAATGGTAATAATAATAATAGTAATAATAGAAATAATAATAACGATAATAATAATAATGATGATCATAATAATTATCATAATAATAATGACAATAAGGATCATGATTGAAATGAAATATGTTATTAATAATAACAATAGCAATAGTGATAATGATAATTATAATAATGATAATAATAGTAATGATAATAGTATTTGCATTAGCAATACAAATGATAACAATAGTGACAATAATATGAAATAGGAACAACAAAAACTACAAGAATAGTAATATTAATCATAATTATCATCAATATTATTTTTATCATAACTATCATTCTTGTGATCATTAATATCATTATTATTATTATTATTATTATTACTATTAATATTATTAATATAAAAGTAATAATGATAATGACAATATAATGGTAATGAAAATAGTAATGATACCAATAACAATAATGATGATAATGATAATAACATTTATGACAGGAATGATAAAAATAATAATATCAATAATGCTGCTGCTGCTGATAATAATTATAATAATAATGATGATGATATTAATAATAATAATAATAATAGAAATAATAATGATAATAATGATAATAATATTAAACAAAATAATAATAATAATAATAATAATAAAACAATAATAATAATGATAATAATGATAGAAATAATATTAATACTAGTAATAAAAACGACAAAAGTAATTATAATGATAATAGTAATAGAAATTATATTTTTTAATAATTCTAATAACCGACAGATTCCTCTCACCCTCTGCTATCCAAATATATAGAAATTATGCCGCGGACCTCCTCCCCATCATACCCATAATTTGGCTCCGATAGCAGGGGAGGGCATTAATGGTACCAGGGAAATTGCGGGATAAAGTATGAATAATTTGTACAGAATCAGTCACTAAACTGTCTAATGTTGGGGCTGCGCCCCCTGCATTTGACTATATATTGACCAATTCTCTGCATATTATTCATACTTTATCCCGCAATTTCCCTGGTACCATTAATGCCCTCCCCTGCTATCGGAGCCAAATTATGGGTATGATGGGGAGGAGGTCCGCGGCATAATTTCTATATATTTGGATAGCAGAGGGTGAGAGGAATCTGTCGACGCCAACATCTCGTGATCGGCCATGCGAAGGTATTCCGAATATTTACCCAGTAGTGATAATGCAAATCATGATGTTATTTTTATTAACATTATTTTCGTTATCATAATCTTCATAATTGTTATTATTATTATTATTATTACTATTATTATTATTGTTGTTATTATTATTATCTTTATCATTTTTATCTTATTAATATCTGCTGTTGGCGTTGCTCATGTTTCTGTTAGTTGTGATCATTATCATTCTCATCAATGTTTTATCCGTTTTGTATCGTGTATCATTCCTATTACTATTCTGGTTATGCCTCCAGTTTCTCGAGTTCATTCAACGTGAGAGCGCGTCCATCTATCCACATATGTGTTTCTATGCATCTTTCCTTTCCTGAATTATTCCTCTTGGGATTGAGAGAAAGGGAAACGGTGCCCCTTGACTTGGCTTCAGCGCGAGGGAAATGAACAAACCTGGTGTTACAGGTGCTCTCTGGAGGCGAGTACTCAGCAGTGGCCTTCGGAGGACTCTTCGTCACCTGCAGCAAGAACACGCAGGGATGTTCGGTGACTGTGAGCGGGAAGTACTTCGGAAGGTAAAGAACAGGGCAAAGTTTTCCGTTTCGATTTCTGGCGGCTTCATTTTCTTTAAAGCTGTTTTATATGCACCAGTATTAATCATTATTTTTATGATTATGTCCATATCATCATCAATATTATTTGTATCAATGCGTTTTGAAATAATTGTGCACAAATATACTCTCTCCCTCTCTCCCTCCGTCTCCCCTTTCCACTCCCAGACTGGCCGGCCTGCTTGGGAACTACAACAACGAGCCGGCCGACGACTGGCGAGGTCCGGACGGGACCGAAGCCTCGGCGAGCACTTGGTCCGTGTCTCCCGAAGCTTGCTATGAGGTGCGTCTGTTCTTTGTTTGTTTTTCTGGTTTCCTCGGAGTCTTCGAGGAAGTCCGGGCTATTGTGTTACTATCGATATTTGTAATCAAGGAAAGATTGATATTGGTGGTGATGCACCTTTAATCTTCCCTTCTGACTCCAGGCGAACCAGGCTATCCGGGTGAACGAGCTCCGCGAGGCCGAGGAGGGCGTCGAGGAGTGCTCCCGCATCTTCCTCGACTCCGACAGCAGATTCAGCAACTGCTTCGAAGCGGTGGACCCGCGGCCATACTTCTGGCACTGTGTCAATTCCTTTAACCGGCCGGAGTTCGATCTCGCCAACGCCAACACCGTCTGCAATGTTGCATCTGCTTATCGCACGCAGTGTCTCAACCAGAAAATTAGTTTGCCGAGTTTGATGGAGTGCGCTGAAGGTGAGGTTTCTTCATTTTTCTTTGTTACCAGTATTATTATTTTAATTTCTCATATCACGTTTGCTTTTTATTTTATGATCATTATTAAAATAATTGTGATTGTCAAAATTTTATTGCCATTATTGCTGTTATCATTTTTTTTTTGTCATTATTATCATTGTTGTTATTATGTTTACTGTTACTACCATTATCATGTGTTGCTGTCAAATGGCAAATCAAGTTCATAACAATAAACGAGTAGACACGGAAAAGAAAGGCAGTCCAGTCGACAAATGCGCGTTCCCGTTTTGCCCCCAGTGGAGCCAGCCGTGTTCCTGGAGAAGCCGGTGCGCCCCATGGCGGAGAGTCTGGTTCCCACGTGTGATGCGGGCGGCGAGGAAGTGCCCCTCGGGTGGAGCCAGCAGTACGAGGCTGTGTCCAAAGGTTCAGCCGATGTTGCGCTGGTCATAGAACTTGCTGCTTGCCACAAGGGGAAAGACATGCAGAAACTCTTCAAGCTTTTCAAAGTCCAGATGAAGAAGGCTGGAGCTCGTAAGTATTAGGAATCACGTTTTCTTTTTCTGTTTTCCCTTTCAGTGCACCTTTCTCCTCATGCTCCTCGTTTCTTCCACTTTTTAATCCCCATTTGAATTTCGCAGAGGATGTCCAGTATGCCTTAGTGACAACGGCTGGCAGAGACTCCAATGTGTCCTCGTTCATGACGGGCGACGAAATAGAGAGCCAGCTGTCAGGCCTTTCCTTCGAGGGCGCCAAATCCGCAGACAAAGGATATTCGGCCGTTTTAGCTGCTGCCAAGGAACTCAAGTATGTCTGAAGTTCGATTCAATGGCATCCGCACTACACTGTAACTCTATTCGCTATTCGACGCTAATGCATAATTTGTTTATAAGGTAGGTTGTTAATGACTATATCGTAATGTCGAACCTTTCTAAAGATGGCGCCCAGGGGTTTCCCGAACGATTCTTCACCTCTCCTGTCAGCCCTGTGACATGGGCGAAAATCTCGAGCAGGTCCTGAAAGAGCATGACGTCACTTACCACATTGTTACCAAGATCAAAATCAATGTAGAAGGACCTAGTGAAAAGCGAAGCAAGGTCATGGCCTCCAAAGTGTTTGGATTTGACGAGAAATTTGTATACACTGTCGGAGGTGAGGCTGGCAACTCTATTTTTTACGTTGATAACTGCATATGTCTGTTGTTGTTTTTCTTTTCCTTTTAAAGATTATTTCTCTTCTTGAGTATTCCTTTATTTGTGACAGACTTTGCAACTTTCCGCGGCAACACTAAGATTCGGGCCATGATGCAGCAACCGGAAGGAGTGTGCGTTGCAGCTGCGGAGGGCTCTGGAGGCTCGGTTTTCAATGGAAATAAGTGGGTGACCAGCAAAGCGGTAAGTGTGAGCGGTTGGGGGCACTTGGAGTAGATATTCACAGCCAGAGATTCCTGATTCGTCAAAATGAAACATGCAGGTTGACCTATAGATGTCGAATGGGTGCAAAATTCCAGTCACATTCCTTAACACTAATACTGTCTTTTCTGACATTATGGTAAAAAGGGCCCCTGTTCAGTGACAATACTTTTCGATTTCAGTTGTTGGAGAAGAAATTCCTCCGAGTAATGGCACAAAGGGTGTCGATGAGTACATCAGCCCCTGAAT